ACTCTCAGCTATCTCAAACTGCTGTGCAACCCTGTTCACTATATTCACCCATTCATTGAAATCATCGTCAGGCAACATGTGATTTGAGGCTAGCGCCATAGTCAACTTTTTGTTTAAAGCATTCTGGAGCAGGGAGATTTTGTTGTCATCTGGCCAAAAATCTCCTCGGGCCTCAGTCAATTTGTTCGACCAAGATGCTAGAAAGTCCGACCAGTGTTGTTTATCCTCCATTTTCATAGACTGTAGCTCTGTTTTAGCACGAGAAATTCTTGTCGAATCTAGAAAAAGCCTGTCGAGGAATTTAATGAAATCTTCGGGATCTCTGGTATTCCGAACTCCGCCAGCTTCGTAGAACGAGCTGGCCTTTGTTCTTGCCGTGCCCTTCAGTGCGTTATAGATCATCAGGAAAGCTCGAGAATTGTCGTATCCGAAAAGATTCCAGTCCATACGGAAAGTATCCAAGACAGCAGCACGCCATGCTGGGTATTCAGCTCTAATTCCAATGAATTCCGGAAGCTTTGTCGGCTTTAGACTGATGTGCTCGCTTGGTGGTGGATCCTTCTCAATGATAAATCTTTTAGTAGACGTAGGTTTACAAGATTGCTTTTCGAGCAATTTTTTAAACTGATGCTGAAGTTCGCGGAATTCCTCGATAGGTACCATCTGGTGGCGTCCCCCGGTTACCGATGATGTCATTATTATTGAGATTTATTACTGAATGACTACAACTCACTGCGGTTCCGAGTTACTGTGACTGACTACGATTCTGAATTTCTGCGACTGACTGCGGTTCTGAATTACTGCGACTGACTGCGGTTCTGAATTACTGCGACTGACTGCGATACTGAATTACTACGACTGACTGCGATACTGAATTACTGCGACTGACTGCGGTTCTGAATGCCTGAATGAGAGAAAATAATATGTCGCGGTTCGAGGTATAGATGCTGGGGCGATCAAATATACGAAGGTTGTTTATTATTTTCTCTATGGCTATCTATGTACGTCCAACTTCAACTATTTATTCGCTTACTATTCTATCTAGAATATTCTTGACTAATACCAGTTTCTAGTATTTTCCCCTGAGGCTGGTTCGCAGTCTTACTACTAGTTGCTAGAAATTTCTAGTGATGTCCAGATTAATCTATGATAGAATAGTGGTTTCGTAAAGTTGTGAAGCACGTGATTAACATCATGTGCCACAGGGTAATTACCGGCTCACTAGCCGTTACAATTAACCTCCGTAAGCTCTTACCTTTACAACACTACAACCAGATTCGAATGTCGGAATGGGAGGAATGAGAAACAGCTTTTCGGACTCGCTGTGGCTAATTGGAGAATAACTGCGTGAATATTGGCGTTGGTAGAGTAGCCATGGGGAAATTACGGATATTAGTCACGTGGTGTCAGTGCGGCGTTGAGGATTACTTGCGTTCATTATTCATGATAGATACATAGATACATAGATATACATTTTGATCAATAACCATTTTACCCAATCTTTGTGCTAGCACATTACCTAGAGTCGGTGATAAACTGACAATAACCTAATGCCTCTCGTACTTACTAATGCACCAGCAACATTTAAACACTTTATCAATGATTGTCTACGCGAATATCTTGATGTATTTTGTACAGTCTATCTAGATGATATTCTTATATGCAGCGATTCTATGGAATAGCACCAAGTATATGTTGAAAAGATACTGCAGGCCTTATACCTGTTGTGATTATGAGCTGTGAGGTATATGGAAATCATGACTCTGCAGTCCATCAGTGGAGTAGCACAGGCTCATGTGCATTGGCGGGTCGCGGAGAAAATACTTCGGAGGGTCCTGAGGTCTTGTCTTGTTGTACAATCGGTGGCGGTCAGATTGTCGGTGTTGCACTAGAAGGGAGGAGCTTAGTACCATCTCCAACGACATATCCGAAAAACCCGATTTGAGATAATTGTTGTGCCGACCCTGAGAACGCGCTATGCCTTTGGAATTTAAGTTTCGGAAGGTTGCTGATTTGTGAGAGTTCATTGACGTGTGGATTGCTTGGCTTGAGCTTTAAAATCAGCGTCGACGTCCTGGATGACATTAGCGTATTCATTCAGGGTTCAGCATCTCCATTCGTTGACCACTACGCTTCTCAGGCGTTTGGTTATCTTGTTCTGAAGGTCCGACTTAAGCGTCTCCTTATCAGTAAGGCCAGCCTGAACAGTCAGAATACGGAACCGTTGAAAAAAATCACGGATCTGTTCGTGGGATTGCATTTCCAGATCATGGTAGTCATCACTGGCGGTTTGCTACTCCGCCGGATCTGACAAGAAGTCTACAACTTCCTGTATGAGTCTATTTGATAATGGGTGTGGGCTCACGTCAATATATAGAGGAAGAAGAAAATCACGCGCAATCTCTTTCGTGTTTTCAACAATATAACTGCGGTGATGGTTGTTGTTTAAAAAACTGTTCTGATATCATTACAGTCTTTCTTGGATTTGTTGTTGCCAAAGACGCGGTTTCATATCCCTACCATCTGAGAGTCTGGAAGGTAGCAAGTGAATAGTCTCTGGTCAGAGTACAGGTCGTAAGGTCGAGGGAAAGCGAGTGATTTGAGCGGCGTTGGGGTAGTCATCATCATCTGAAGGATCTTGAAAGCGAAATTGGGCGTAGCCACATTCTATAGAAGGAATGAGATTTTCAAGATTCCTGGAGATTGATGCAGAGGCAGATGTGGAAGCCAAATTTGCAAGACTATTGGTTCCGTAGAGTCTAGCAGTGGTATCTGGAGGTCTTCCGAGACGACTTTTCCGAATTGCAGTATCTAGGTCTTCCAATTCTTGTGGGCGTGCGAGGAGAGCACGTTCTCTTTTCAGCCAGTCTAGCTCACGGCGTTCCAGGTCAGTAAGGTCAGTAGGAGCTGCAACGTTCTCAGGTCTGGGAGAGGCGAGTTAATTGGCCTTTCCAATGCCCTTCTCACGTTCTGATACATTCCTGAGAGGCATTGAGACTATTGTGGGAGAGAAGATAAAGAGGATGACTCAGATAAAGCCGCTGCTGAGGTAGTGGCGGTATCCTGGGTATTGTGAATCGGTATGAATCGATTGTCGGTGGAATTCTGTTGGGAATCGATCTGGGATCTAGGATAATTTTGCAAGAGTTCAATACGTTCAGAATGACGTATTTTTATGGACTTCGCAAAGGGGTTTTCTAACGAATTAATCATGCTTCGAGAGGACGATTTACTCTCACGGTATTCGGTCTTCCATGGACAGCGAGGTGTAATTCTATTATGCTCGGCTATGTATGATGGTAGATCTAGTGACTGGCGCATAAGTAGTTATTACAGCATTATGGCGTATTAGGGGAAACCAGTCTCTACATAACGGCATTTCAAGTATAACTGTTGGTGACTATTATCAACACCTGTCAGTGGTGTCCCCTTCGACCCTCTAGCTCTCACTATAGAGTTTGCAATGCCGAGATTGAGTAATAAAGTCCTGACTTCCATGAGGACTCCCATTCGATTTCATCGTCTGTATCGTCTTCATCCCTCAACACATTCCCCTATCATCATTATCATGAAGCTAACCACGATTATATCAGATGGTAGAGTCGGACCCCTTCTCATCACCAACCCTTGATCAAGGAGAAGCTATGGATGAGTTTTCGGAGCGTACCCAGCACTCGATACGGAGATGGTGGATTGGATCAAGTCGGCCTCAACTGTAACAAAGAAGGGAGATACAGATGAATATGTGCACCTCGTGTAGCAGGGACTGAAGGGTTTTTTTTGAGACCTATTCGCGCGCACACAGTTTCCATTGCTACCATCTTTTTTTGGGTAGAAAGTTTTATAGAAAAGGTAGCTGAATTCCACGGGTAATTACTGAGCTGAATGGCTATTCATCACGGGCAATATATCAACGATCTTTCAAGAAACAAAAGAGGCAAGATGTACTGAACAAGGTGTGGCCTGGACCAGAAAGGAGTCCAATATCCTAGATAGTCCAACACCCAAGTATTACAATAAACACATACAACACATACAACCATGAAAAATAACTCCAGAACCTTAATAGCCCTTTGAGGATCATTTCGACGTCAGGACGCGTTGGATTTGCGGTCGGGAGATGAGGCCAAGATCCAGCCTCTGAAAGGACTGGGACGGCATGAGTGACAATGGTGAGAATGATAATAATAAGGCGTATAGCAGCATTGCCACACAAGTAAGAAGCGAGCACATCGGGCTCAATTCTTACTTATACAGAAGGAACTTGCCAGGAGTAGGAAAACCATGCTGCCAATGTGTATATCCGTCCCAAAATATAAAGCGCATAGTGATTTCTTGTCCAGGATGGGCAAGGGGAAGAGGCAAGTTGCTACGAAAATCGACAACCCGATCTTTCGAAGCTATGGTAAATAATGACAAATATATAACTAGAATTGCACAGCAGATTCAAAAGGAAGGATAGTTAGAGCAGTTTTGGATGACCGGAGAAACCGAGGCGTTCATCAGGCGAAGAGAGGAAATTGGAAACACAGGACAAGGACGGAATCCACACTGGTATCAACAGCGTGAGTGCACTTCCTAGAGGTAAGACTAGAATGGTGTAGAGTCCAATCAGGTAGCCAAGGGGGTTTTTACTGCAAGGTTTCCTTCTATGTAAATATTAAAGTTCGTAGACGCCTGCATGGGCCCAAAGGGCGCCAAATCAGGCTAAATGAAATCAAATTCAAATAAGCTGTATATGGTAGGTATTAACGTATCTACTTTCGGAATTATTGGCGATCGAGCTCGAGCACTATCTGTTTATCCATCAAAATTTTTGATAGCATATATCAAAAGCTGAAGAATGGTTCTCCATCCTGTGCTCGGGTAAAGTATTAAACGAGTGCAAGTATTCACAAGTCAATTGAAATAGCTAAACTCAACTCTGACACCAACTTCTACCAATATCTCCAGCTGCACATACTATTTCACTAGATATTGAAAAAGCTAATCACTAAAGTTTATGTGGTTTTCTTCTCTTCGAATGGACCGGTGGTGCCCATTACTCGAAATGAAATCAATCTTTGGTGATAAACCTTCCGGCTCCAAGTTAATAGGTGACGTAAAGTTCGTAATTTTTTGCCCAAATAATATGGAGAATTTTTATAAATGTCCGAAAGATATCGACTGTATTCAAAATCCAAGAATGGATAATTATGTAACAAGTTAATATCGTGTATTTCGATAGAATTAAGAAAATTATAGATTTCTTTAGAGTAGATGTCATATCTTGTATTTCCTTTGCTATTCGGGGGCTCATAAGCCTCAATAATATCTTTCTTCATTTCATAAAATTCCGTCCATGAACGCTTAGAGTTAGGAAGTGCCTCTAAAATGTGATTCGTAATCAATGATCCGTTCTCAACCTCCGATCCTATCTGCGTGACTGGGGTCCACTCGCTTGTTTTTAGGTTCTGCTTGAATAGATGCAAATGACCATGGTACCAAGCCAGTGCATTCTGTTCAAGCTCTGTGCCACTTCTCGCGAACATCTCTCCGTTTAGGACCAGCGATCTCATTTCCATAGGTTGGTCGTGGGTTACCACAATCGGCTGATCGGCCATTTGCGGTGCAAACGCTTTGTATGGTCCATCTACCGCAATAATACCCTTAAATGCTAGGTCCAGGATTATTCGGCTGGTGCACATTTTCCTTACCTCGTACTCGCATTTCGATAAATCTATCACGTCTTGCTCTAGTTCTGGCCTGTATATAGAAGATAGGTATGTCAGACACTTTTTTTCCATCCGTGTATCGTGGGTAAGCCCGAGGTGGGCCAGTTGTGTGATTTCCGTTAGTCCTTTGGTGATAAAACGAGCTATTTCAACAGATTGGAGGTAGTCTGAGCAATAAGGCATGTAGTATGTCCCTTGCCGTGTGATTTTTGTCTTGATCAACATGGGTGCATCGATGAACTCCGAGTGTGGGAAGTGATCACGGTCTTTAACTTCATAGACTCCATAGGATGGCTTGTCCACCTCATCGGTCGTAACAACCAAGCGATCCAAGCGATTCGAGCTCTCTCCCGCGATCAAGAGGAATGCAACGGCACATCTAATCATGTCTAACAGACTGGTATGGTCAGTGTCTTATTCAAGAATGCTTTTCAAAACCTCAGTTTTGTGATATCTTTTTTTGGCAAGCTTTTCGTCGCAAATAATCAGAGTTTTCAGGGAATTCTGCTTCGAGATTCAAATGAAGTTATTTGAATTCGCAAATTCTAGATAAAGTTTGTTGGAAATACAGTTTCCTGCTTTTCTTTCTATCGACCAATGTGGTTGCATGCATCTTGCCTGAACTATATTTCTGAGTTCGGGCAGGATCCCACATTTCTGATCCAATCGGACTCAACGTTAGAGTCTGCTTGAATCCCATTCTTCCCGAACAAATCCAGTCATTGGTTTGTTCGTACTTCTATTGCGTGACCCAGTATTCTCAGTCAGTGGATAATTATTTTCTGGTACGGGGTCCCACTTATTTATGCAGTCGAGTCGGTTCCGGGTAACCTCTATTTCTTATAATTCCACTGTATATATCATAATACCTGTAGTCTATTAGTAAATTAAGCAAAACTGAACTTCTTCTCCGTTCTCAGGCAATTCTTACTCCGAAGTCTTCTCTATACTCTAACAAAGTTTCCTCGAATTCGGAATCTCTGACGGCCAATTTTTGCAATGGTGATGCAATTTGTCACATAGGAGTTTATAAACCTCAGAGCTGGATGGATTTAGTGTAGTTTCTAGGCCTGGGAGTCCAGTCATATAATTCCGAGAGATGACATTGTTTGCAAAATTGGGGCTCATTTCTGCGAGATTGGAGATAAAATGGAGACTGATGCATTTTGGTTCTCGAGTCATCACAAAGACAGGATAGCCCATAAGATTTTCTGGGCTATCCTGTCTTTGAAATCATGATTGACTGAATGTAATTTTAACACGCAAGAATAAGACCCTGTAACTTGTTTGACATGACACGGGTAGTTGATCTCGAAAGGCTCAATACTACAAAGAAAACGAGTCCAAGCGGACCCGAAAAATCATGCAACCGCAATCCCTAAGTCCGCTGCACTGCGCCTCGCCTGGATCATTTGATGTTATCTACCGCGAGACCTATTTCTTCGTCTAAACCTAGCCATAGGTCAATTCTTGCCAATATGATTACAATCATTTACTCATACCTCCATCTACCGAAACAGACGTAATGCATCTAGTGACTAAGTTCGATGGCACTATCCGAAATCTTGGTCTTGGCTTCAAAAACAATTCCAAGGTTGTCAGAAATATTGCGCCCATATCATTGCGCAATATTTTTGGAACGAAAGTCGAAGTTGACTAAAAGAGTGACATGTTCAGATTAGAGCTGAAAGAGTGGGAGGTGTGCGCTGCAAGTATAAGTGTACAAGACTGAACTCTTGTATGCGGCATCCTCTACCAACCTGATAGTGAAATATTCTCCCAGAGCCAAGTTCAGTCAAATTTCGCAATATAAAAGAAGTTGGCCCACGAGGCAATAATTCAAACTCTCCACCAAATCATCTTCTCCCACCCAACGAGATCGATCTCTTACCTAAGCCTAATCAAGCCTACAACTACGACCCAGTAAATCCTTATTCCAATGATCACACCTCTCGTCGACTTTCTCTGGCCTCAGACAGTCACTAAGTACACGCTCACGCAGATATTTACACCATATGGGGGACACAAAGCGTGACGCACAAATCTGGGAGACAGTTCTTTGGGATGGACATGAGAGGGATCAGGACAAGTTGAAAAGATGACACGGAGGATGGATACAATATCGACGGGCTTGTGATTTTGAATTTTGGCAAGAGTTTTACAAATTGAGCTCTGTGTGCGCCGAGAATTCGCTTACAAGAGTGCAGCTGACAGTGTAAAACAAGCAAACGATGGAAGGTGTTGTGGTCCGCCCCCTGGTGGTGTTCTCCGGTAAAGTCTGAGTAGCTTGGGCATCTACTCCACTTGGGAAGGACAAGATTCAGACTATTTTTCGCGCGTAGGAAATTTGAAAGATGATGGAGGCATGTCTGGATAACTCAGGGTTTTTGAGACTTTCCCCTGGGTGGGTATTCACGGATGAGGGTTGACTTGGGGTGAAGAAAAAGACGCCACAACTTCGCAGTGGTACTTGCAAATGAAATCTGAGGCATGAGTGCTCTTCGCTTACGTTGAATCATCTATTCTGTACTTTTCTTTGATATTGTGTCATAGCTAGATAGCTGCATACGCAATTAAAATCTGATGCAAAATAAAAGACCCTGTGAAGGCTTGCATACAAAAACAGGTTGTTTATTATTATTACTAATTCATTTTATTGTCCTGTCTGAGTCTACGACTATGTATGACATGCAGGTCCTCTCTGCCTACAGGCCAAATATACCTATGCCAGTAGTATATCCCCTCCTATGCCTCCCATACAACTCCCCTCAAACAGTACCACCCCTCACAAGTCCTCATTCGAACATACACTAAGAGGAGCCCTCAGCCCTTCATTATCTCCCCTATCTAGCCAACGAAACGATGGCCTTTTGCGGGTGTATGGCAGCCGAGAAAAATCGCAAAAACCACTGGGTGCGGAGCTCTCCTAATACCGACATTAGGACTAAATCCGAAGACATATTGCCCCTTCCGAAGCGTTCGAAGAAGCCGGCCAGCCGGGCGCTGCAGACTTGTGGGTACCTGTGTTCTGTGCGAAAGGCTGGGCCTTTCGCCAAGTCCGAATTATATGCAAGGCTGACCACGCAGGTCAGCCCAGACAACCAGTGGCGGGTAAACCCGTAACAACGCCTTTATCGGTCCTTGAGACGAGATGATAAGTGGTTCGAAAGATGCTGAGCGCTCAGAAGATGATGGTGAGTGCTGCATGATTGAGAAGATTTCAAATGGAGTTGCATGTGTTTGCTTTCGACTTCGCTTCGGATGTGATTCTTCTTGGCTCTCCCAGATATGCAGAGCATTCTGAGCACAAACACCGGCATCACTGGAAGGTGAAGAATTCGTCTTTGACGGCTACCGGTTGATTGGTGAACCGGATAAGCCCCGGTTCTAAGTAAGTTAGGCATAAGCCTTTCCATCAGAAGCGATCAATAAATTTATGACGCTCATGTTGAACAATGCGAAATGACTGCGATAAGTTCATAGTTGACCATAATGTGCGATAAGGGTCAATAGGGTTCTACGTCACCATGGAGATGCAAATGTGAATTTAGAACATATCACTGCACGTCGGAAATATTTTAGCTTGAATGAAACTTTAACCTGATAGGGTTGTATCCCTTTCGAGATGCTCTGTTGTTCAGGGAAATTCAGACCAAGTTAGACTCAAAGTGACACGTCCGAACAAAAGTGGAGATCACTAGCTTCGGAGAATATGTTTCATGAAGACCAGGATAGCGCTGATTCAAGGTCAAGGCTTGCGAAGGTTAGGCGTGCTTTTCTCGTCCCCTCATGCCCTGTAAAGGAGGACGGATGAAACACGTCTTGCAGGTTCCGGAGTTGAGACGGTAGAAGTACATGCAGTTGTTCATGGAGTAACAACGAAGAGGTCAGGGCTTATGAGACACGGCAATGATCTAATCTCAACAGGACTAGAGCTTCATCGTTTGTGCATAAGCGCACACAAGGCGCCGGTTTTCGGCAACATCCGGACTTTGTGACATTTCTAGTGGACAAGGGATCTTCCCAGTGACCCAAACTAAGCGCGCGAAGAAGAAAAATGTGCGGGAGTAGCCGTGCCATTAGTTAGCCAGTAGGGCAAAGATCGGACACCTTGTGGATCCTGAAAAGATCTACAGAGTCACGGGCTGATCGGATTTCGGACACACGGCACATAGATAAACTGCTTATGAATAGCATCATAGCTAGTTTGACTGCATAAACTTGGTGAATTAAAATAAAAATGCTTATGCCTTATAACCTCACACGATCAGATGGCACAATTAGGAGGGCAGTTCTCGCTGGAGCTGGGGAGTAACGGAGGATTGATTTGTATAGGCGCATATGTAGCCTATATTTAGAGAATATAGAATCAGGTGCTAGTCATAAGCTCTACATAAAGTCTATTGTGGAGGGCAAGACTGAACACCTGTACGCGGTGTCCTCTACGAACCTGGGAGTGAAATATTCCCCCAGAGCCAAGTTCAGTCAAATTTCGCAATATCAAAGAAGTTGGCCCACGAGGCAAAAATTCAAATTACTCCACCACGTCAATCTTTCATTTCCAAAGAGTCCGATTCTCGACTAAGCTTCATCAAGTCTACAAGTACGACGTAGTACATCCTCACCCCAATGATCACACCTCTAGTCGACTTTCTCTGGCCTTATTTGACCGCCAAATACACGCCCACGCCGATATTTATACCCGACGGAGGAAGCAAAGTGTGGCGCACAAATCTGGGAGATAGTTCTTTGGGATGGACGTGAGAGGAGTCAGGAAAAGATTACAAGATGATGCAGAAGAGGGATACATTCTCGACGGGCGTGAAATTTTGAATTTTGGCAAGAGTTTTACGAATCGAGCTTTGTGCGCGCCAAGACTTCGCTTGCGAGAGTGCAGCTGACACTATAAACACAAGTAAACGATGGAAGGTGTTGTGGTCCGCCTCCTGGCGGTGTTCTCCGGTATAGTCTGAGTAGCCTGGGCACCTACTCCACTTGGGAAGGAGACATCTCAGATCATATTTCGCGCGGAGAAAAGTTGATGGATGACGGAGGCATGTCTGGATAACTCAGGGTTTTTGAGATGTTCCCCTGAGTGGGTATTCACGGATGAGGGATGACTTGGGGTGAAGAAAAAGCCGCCATAACTTCGCAGTGGTACTTGCAAATGAAATCCGAGGCATGAGTGCTCCTCTTGTAAATTGAGTCATTTTTTCTGTACTTTTCTTTGATATTGTGTCATAGCTAGATAGCTGCATACGCAATTAAAATCTGATGTAAAAAAAAAAAAAAAAATAAAGTCTATTGTGTAAATAGTCACGGGACATTGATTAGAGTGCAGGCGACACTGTAGACACCACCATGGCTGGATGGTGCGGTGGTACATC